TAGAGGGTCTATTGATGCTTTTCTTTCATGTTAATGACTTGGTGATTGAAAGGTTGTCCATAGCCCCTGGCTATCAGTCTTTATAGTTGGTTTCAGGTACGGACGCGTCGGGGAGATTGACTTCACCTCAGAAAAGACAGACATACACATACACACAGTGATAGGTAAAATCAATCTCTCAAGTTTATTAGCGGGAAGAAAATTAATATAACAGAAAAAAGAAAGGTGGGGGGCACAGAGTATCAAAAAGCTGAGTTGTCAGTAATTGATTGGCTGAATACAAAAAGACAACATTGACGTCAATTCTGAAAAGTGATGAGAAGCGGAGTTTCACTTTCCCTGGAAAAAAGAAAGTTTCTAAATTGTTTTAAAACACTTATCTACTACATACAATAGAATCTCGCTAGATACTTGTCAAGGCTATGAACATGACTTTCTCAGGCCTTGAAATCAGTTACAAGTATCCAACAATTATTTTCCCATGGGACAGAAGTATTTGACTTTTAATTATATCATAACAGAAACAGGTGCAGTTAGTACAAAGAAATAATTAGATACTATCTCCTTCTCTACCAAGGCTCCTCTACCGTGTGTAAGATAAAAAATAGAAGAATATTTTCATTAAGTCATTCTGGGTATAATACAAAACAATGAACCAACATGTTAGTACAAAATATAAAATGGAGTGGGGAAAACAAAATGACAGACCTAAAAGACATACATTTCCCTTCAATCCCCTCTTAAAATCATTATTTACATATATGATTTTTATTCTCCCTTATACAACATAGTTCTTTTTCTGCTTCTTTCTATATTTGGCTAGATAACTGTGGTACTCTTTAGGTTTTGGGTTCAGTGGGGCAGTTTGTTCTTAGATCTCTTCTGCATACATACTCATACCTATTCCTTTGTTCATAAGCTTCTTAATACACGGGAGGATGCAGCAAACCACAAAACCTATGGTAATCAATATAATCAGAATAACAATAGCAAGCTGTACTAGTGTCTGTTTCCAGCTGGTGAACCATCCAAAATACTAATCCGAAAAGTTGTCTAAGCTGGAGTTCTTCTTAAACTCTATAGACAAGTCTTCAAGTTTCTTTATGACTAATGTGACTTTGCCATTTGGGCCTGTGTTGTCTAGAATGTAAATGCAACAAATGTCTACCATGTCTATATATTTTGCATGTACCACTCTTCTCAGCTAGATTCATATCTAGGGCTATCCTGTTCTGGAGTGTCATCTGTAAAATGGCTTCTAATTGTTCAGCAGTTCCCTTTAGGGAATCCCTAGTATAATTAACAAATCTTTGTTGATTATAATAAATATAATTTATCCATCAATGTTCTTGTTTACGGTGACAATGAAAAATATATACTCAAATCCAGTTGCTGCTTGGTCTTTTGGCCTTCAATTCGTCTGGAACCCCTCTTGGTACCCCCATGGCATCTATATATACATAGCTAACACCATGTGCAGTATGATACATATTATACAACCAGAGTAAGTGGGAGTTATGGGAACATTGTACACTTTGGCAGTAATCAATAATGAAGGTGGCAACCTCAGTATTTGATGAATTATACCACAATATGGTGTGGCCTGAGTCCTGTATTATCACCATTTCACCATGGCTAGATGCCAACAAAATCAGTATGATCAGGAAAAAGTGGCAGAACCATGGTCCAAAATTGGGGAAGCAGTTCTTCTTCAGGGTCAGGGTTTCTACCCTCGTTAATACCCCCTTTCCTTGATTGTCCTGTTCAAGGTCAGGGCTTTCTGCCCCGTTAGTACCTCCTTTCCTGTTTTCCTTGGGTCTGGTCCTTTCTCGACCAGCTTCGCTCTGGAAGCATGGATCCAGATGGAACTATGTTCAGTGAGAACTGCTGTTCTGGTTTACTGCTACAACTAGAGATGAGCGAATTATTCAAAAATTCGGTTCGGCTGATTTGCCGAATTCGCCGCATAAATTCGCTTCGAGCCGAATATATTCGCTGCGAATTTAACTTATAAAAAGGGTGTTTCTATGGATTTATCCCGGGTAGGGAGGCCAGGGATAATACCATTAAGGCCCTCAACCTCCAACATTGGCTCTGTAAATCTAACTTTCCCGGTTTCTTCCTTTCCCTGGATGCGGAGAAGGCCTTTGATAGGATCGCCTGGGACTATCTGCAGGAGTCTTTGGTGCAATTGGGTCTGGGTGAGAAGATGCTCAATTTTATAATGACCCTGTATTCAGGCCCTACTGCGCGTGTCCGGGTCAATGGCCATTTGTCAAACTCTTTTCCTTTGGGCAACGGTACGCGTCAGGGTTGCCCCCTTTCTCCACTCTTGTTCGTCCTTTCCTTGGAGCCCCTTCTACGGAAGTTGCGCTCTAACCCCGACATCAAAGGAATTGCGGTCTCGGATAAGGAATATAAGCTTGCGGCTTACGCGGACGATATTCTTCTTTTCCTTGCCGAACCGCATATTACTCTGCCAAATTTACTAAAGGACTTTGCATTTTTTTCGTTATTTGTCGAACTTTAAGATTAACTTTTCCAAGTCTTTCGCTCTCAACATCACCTTGCCTTCGGAAGTAGTTTCTGATTGTGAGTCGCGTTTCCCGTTTCATTGGGAAGGGGACTCACTTTCTTATTTAGGTGTGCAGCTTACCCGCAACCCTGACGATTTATATGCTAAGAACTTTTTACCCACTCTTCGTTCTCTCCAAGGGGATCTGAATAAATGGCACCGTCCTTGCTTTTCGTGGTTCGGAAGAGCTGCGATAATTAAAATGAACATCCTTCCTCGCCTTCTCTACCTCTTTCAAACTCTGCCCATCCACATACCGCTTGCCTTCTTCACATCCTGTAGGAGGCTCTGTTCTCTATTCCTATGGAACCATAAACGCCCGCGCATTGCTTATTCCCAACTGATTCTCCCTAAACTTAGTGGTGGTATTAGCCTTCCTGACCTTCACCGTTACTATTTGGCGTGCCAGCTCTGCCGTGTAGTGGATTGGCATGTCCACTCTGCTTCTAAAGACTGGGTGCAACTAGAACACGCCTTCTCGTCCGCACCCCTGATTTCGATCCCTTGGCTGCCGCTGAAGCATACGCCTCAGGTCCTTCTTAGTCATCCTTTGGTAGGCCCTACCCTGAAAGCCTTCCGCTATACCTGCAATTCAGCATCTATTTCTGCGTCTCCGAATTGTCTCACTTCCATCCGACTCAACCCTGACTTCCCCCCTGGAATGCACAAGAACTTTCTATCTGAACATTGGCCGCATGATCAAATTTTGGCCAAAACACTTTCTCCACGAAGGCAAGATGAAATCACTACACGAACTACGTGACAGCTTGGGTACCCGCGATTTTCCTCTCTGGGTTTATTTGCAAATACGGCATTATCTGCTCTCGCATAAACCTTTCCGTGATTGGACCCGCCCTCTTACCCCTTTTGAGGATATTTGCTCGAAAGGACAACCGCGTAAGCATTTGATTTCAGAAATTTACCCTCTCTTAATTGAGAATAGGGCCTATAACTCCCTGCCCTCCTGTCAGGCCTGGAATAGAGATTTGGATGATAATTTGGCGGATTCCGACTGGGCACGTGTATTCAAATATTCTCATAAATAGAGATTTGGATGATAATTTGGCGGATTCCGACTGGGCACGTGTATTCAAATATTCTCATAAATGCTCCCTTAATGTCTCGACGCAGGAAAACGGCTACAAATTGGTGTCGAGGTGGTATCGCACCCCTTCACGAATTTCTCATTTCAATCCTTCTTATCCCAATACCTGTTGGAGGTGTGGGGCTGCGGACGGATCATTTTTACACATCTGGTGGTCCTGTTCGAGCATTCAACCGTTTTGGAAAGAGGTCCATAGGATTGTAGTATCGGTGACGACCGTACCTCTGGATCTGTCTCCGGCCCAGTTTCTCCTCCATCATTCCTCCCTTCCGGAGAGACAATATCATAGATCTTTGGCCATGCACATGGTCAACGCGGCCAGACTCTGCCTTCCCGTCCTTTGGGGCTCTTCTCGCCCCCCCTCTGTTCGTGATTGGCTTGTCCGTGTGGGTAAAATGGCAGACATGGAGGAACTAATTGCGTCGGCCCTTGACACTCCCACTAAATTTTCCCACATTTGGGCCTGCTGGATCTACTTCACAACTACTCCTACGTACAGGTCTCTTATGGACCATCAGGTCTGACTTGGTCCGGCTTTCCTGCTGCTGTTACTTCTTTACAGTAGTTTTTGTGATAGGCACTGAGACTCTTTTCGACAATGTATCCCTTCCCACGCGACTCTGGCGTTAGCTTAACTCCTATCCCCATGCATGAGTAACCCCAGATATTGCTGTCATTACTCACCCCATATGTTCCCCCCCCCCCCCCCATTAATTTATTTTGCAAATTTTTTTTTTTTTTTTTTTTTTTCTTCACCTTCCACCTCCATCCCCCTCTTTCTGTTTCTATCACTTTTCTCTCTATTTCCCTTTCTCTCTTTTCTCCTTTCTCTTTTCTTCTCGCCTCTCGCTTTGCTATGCTACCTGGAACACTAGACATGCCATCCTATCACTCTCACCACCTCCATCAACGGCTCCTACCGCAATATGTGCCGATTTTGTAACTCTCCACCTTGCCATAAGTTTTTTGTCCAATTCCTACGTTCAGATGCCATGATCACTCTTCCTATCGCTACAGCCCTGCTTGGCGAAGCACGAGCGCAGGGGATATTATAAGAAGCAATTACACCCCATACTATACTATATTGGCTCCGGTTTGTTGCAAGCATAACCTTATTGTAGTCGGGTTTTGTATTATTGCATTATCATTATCTGTATTTTCTTGTTTGAGTTACTGCTGTATCGCTGTAGGTTGTGCCTGCTGTTTCGCTTAGGCACCCTGTACATGTCTTTTGTACCATTATGTTCTTTCTTAATAAAGGCTTTCTTTTTGGAAAAAAAAAAAAAAAAAAAAGGGTGTTTCTAGGCTTCAGAGAGCCTTTTATATTAGTGCCCAGAACACTGCTACCTTTAATTTAAAAACATAAAACGCCCCATTGAAGTCTGCTGTGGAAGAGAAATAAACTGTCAGTCAGTATGACATGCATCGATGAATTGCCGTCGATCTTAGAATCACCTCCGCACACTTCACTCATTTGGGCAGACACGGGGCCAAAACCAGAGTGTGGAGCCACAGTGTGTGGCGGTGGAGGCAGCAAGCAATGGGATGGCCATACAGCACCCTACTGACAAAATGGACATCCACCAGCAGTGTGAGGAGACCTAAAAGTGGCACATGGCAGAGTGTGGCGATGGAGAAGACAGCAGCAATGGGAGGCCGTACAGGGACCCATGGTCCCACTCCTGGACCTGGCAGCAGCATGAGGAGGCGGTACAGGGGGCCCATGACAGATTACGGGCCTGGCAGCAGCGATGAGGAGTCGGTAGGGGGGTTGTGGTGGGTGTGTGGGGGGTGGGTCATGTGGTTTGTGGGTGTGTGGGTTTGTGTTTTGTTGGTGGGTGAGCGAGTAGACTATCAAGGTGTCCAATGCTGCCCGTTTGGCTGTCTGAGCTTAAGCAGCCTTCAACACTGAACGTCCATACACACGGCGTAGGTTGTCAACGATGTTTGTCTCACAGTTAGAGTCACTAACGAACTCTACTCCTCCGTGAAAGCCGACGTCATGAGGACCCTGGGCAGGTCAGGGGGCCAATTTGTGGTCAGAGATGGACCTGTTCAGCCATGCGTGTTTTTTCATCGAGTAATAAAAGGTCTGTACTGCCCTTTGAGGTCTGGCATAATGCGCACAACACTGAACGTGGCCCAGTGTTTGTCACCGATTTGCGCATTAATTGATGCAAACCCGCTGAACCACGTTTCATGAGAGACGGTCAGGGGGCCATAAATCAGTATGAAGGCCCTGCCAGCCAGGCGGTGAGCAGACCGACAGAGGACACATGGCGCAGGGTGGCGCGGTAGGAATGCAGCAGTATAATCGGAAAGCCATACACAGGCCTCTAGGTTATACAAAGGCGGAAGCCGTCAGGAAGCGTGGATCAGCACGATAGCAGACGACAGAGACACATTGCGCAGGTGTGGCGGATGAGGATGCAGCAGCAATGGAAGGCCATACACAGGGCCTCCCTATTCCCCAACATGGAACCCAGCCACAACAGCGGTAAGCCCGGCGACCTGAAATTGGCACATGGCGGCAGAGTGGCTGTGGCGATGAAGCTCATCCCAAAGGCAATGGGAGGCCACTAACAGGGACCCTATGACACACTCCTGGAACCACCAACAGCATCAAGAGGAGGCGGTGACAATGTGGCACCATGGCATAGTCTGGCGAAGAAGTAAAGCAGCATAATTGAAAGGCCATACAGAGGCCTATGTAAAAAAGCCCCCCAGCCAGCAGTGTGGGGAGACGACTATCAAGAGTCCAATGGCAGAGTGCGGAGCAGAAGCAAGCTTCAATTGAAGCCATACACAGTCCTAGTAAAAAGTTCCCCCCACAGCAGCGGGGGAGACGACTAATCAAGAGTCCAATGGCAGGGGGTGGGGAGCAGAACAGCCCTTAAAAATTGAAGGCCTTTACCAGGGGGGCC